CTTTATGAAAGATTAGAGATCTTCATTGCAGCCCCATTAACTTCACAACAATTGTAGGAACTTTGAAGAAGTTCTGAGGAATGAAAGGAAATTTCAGTAAAGCTTCATAAACAAACTACGGTAACATAAGGGAAATTAAGGGGAGCTTACTGGAAGCTTTAAGATCCTCAAATCGGATCTTTAAACATCAGAAATTTTCAGGAACTTTTATGAAGCTCCCAGAATTTCAGAGCACATCACAGGTGTTAAGCGAACTTGAGAAGTATAGAAACCTTGAGGGGTATTGAGCATTTTTTTTTAGAAGTTCCAAGTACCTCAGAAAAGCTAGATCTAGAGATCTTTGGGGAATTTCAGATCTTAAGTGCAGTTCCCAAGAATTTAGTTCAGACTTTTTGAGGCAGTTTAAATATATATAATCGTAAGTTTAGAAAAATTGAGAACCCTTAAGATGTTCCAAGAATTTCAGGGAAGTACAGAGACCATCAAAGAATGTATGAAAACTTCAGAAATATTTCAGGAACTTTACAGAAGTCCAAAGAATTTCAGGGAAATTTATCTTATTTATCTTCAATAGAATTAAGAGCTTTAGGGAAGCTTCGAGGACATCAAGACAGATCAGAGAATCAAAGGGCAGTTCAAACAATTTTAAGAAAATTGTAGAAACCTTAAAGAAGTTCCGGAAACTTCAGCAAAGCTCCGATAGAACTTCTGGAACGTGATAAAAATTATATGAACATCCGGAAAACGTGAGAGTTTTTGAAGGGTTTTATATCATGGAGATTCCAAGAAATTTAAAAAATGCGAAAATTTATCTAAGTTGATTAGAGAATATCAACGAAGCTCCATTAATTTTAAAAAAATGTGAGAACTTTTGAAACTTTTAGATAGTTTAATGATATTCAATGAAGTTTCGATTACCTCGAGGACAATTCGATAGCTTCAGAATAATCCCATTAACTTAAGCAAAATTGCAGAAACTTATTAGTAATTTTGAATATATATATATTATATCAGAATATTTGCCGGTTTATTAAACAAATTTAGAGAACTTCAGGTAAGCATAGATAAGTTCGAGGAAAATAAATTAGCGTTTTGAATGTTTAGAATACGTCAGGAAAATTGTCGAAACTTCAAGGCAAATCCATTAATTTCAGTCAAGTGGCGGGTTCTTAAAATATACTGTCTAGAAAACTTTAAAGAAATTCAATAATCGTTTAGGTAGTTTTAATAACACCAGGAAAGTCTAGACTATTGAAGAAGTTTTAATTTAATGGAAGTTTCATGAACTTGAGAAAATACATGAGAACTTCAGTGAAAATCAATTCTAATTCCATGAAAATTGCAAGAGCACAAAAGTTCCAGAAATTAAGAAAAACTTCGAAAACTTCACAGGACAGTGGTCTTCAAAAACATTTCGAAAACTTCATAGAAATCTATGGAGCTTAACATATGATCAATGCGTGGAGTGAACTAATGAAAAAAAAAACGCTCGCGTAACTTTAGAAAAGGGCCTTTCAACTTTTATAAACAACTTGTTAGGCCATTTTCACCGAATAACACTCACGCAAACAAAGAGTACTATCGGGAAGGGGAGTTTTCAGGGTTTTTGGAGCAGATTTTATCTAATACTACAGAGCTCTGGCGGACGCACCTAGTCACGAAAGAATTAGTAAATGCGTCATTCCCATCGAGTTGCTAAATCTATCCGATCCAGGTTGAAACTGAATAATAAACGAATTCGCTATCAGTATCTTCTCTTCAAATAAATTCTACGAATAGAGTAATCTTCAATTTTGGCAACAAATTAAGAACGACATGAGTTTATTTAAGTGTTCATCTACCAGTTAATTACAGGAACACAACTAAGTGAAGACCACCTCACAGGTGACAAGCTAATTTGTCCGAAGCCTAGAGGCTCATTACATTCATCGTCCCTAATTTCTTACCGTTCAACCGGGTGGAATCTATTAAACGCTGCATGCGAAATTGTCTCTCGCACCCGGTCGACCATGGAGTGAGACTACTGGGAGCCCAATCAGGCTCCGTCCCGCAGGGAGGCAAAGGTATGTACACCACCGGTACGGAGCGACGGTAATTAATGCAAATGAGTCCGTGAAAGGAACGACCCCCTGATTCCTGGGGTGATGTTGTTCACAGGAACACAGATTGCGTCCATCTGATTTTGCCGCACGTATCCTTCCCACAGTCGGTTCGTTCCGTTCCTGCAAACAACCGAGCGCACCGGGCAGGTATATTTGGGATACTTTCTGTCATCATCCGGTGGCATCTGGATAGTCGTGCCCATCAGATAATGTTCTGCAGCTGCAGCAGCTGTTGTAGAGCTATATGTACATGCACTCTGAATCTGGAAAGCTGTGTAGAGCATCAAGGAAGACATCAACGCGATACGGTTTTACTGGTACCACTCTCTCCGATCTCTCCGAGTATGGAGCAGTTCAATCGCTTTGATGGGAGGAAGCGATGGATGGGAAAACCGAGGGGGACATGTCCAACATGGCCCAAGCTCGTCGTCGTCGTCGTCGTCGTCGTAGTCGTGACAGTCGGTGGTCCAAATCTGGACGTTGTGTGTATGATTTGATCGTATCAGTACATTGAGGGTGGTATTCACCACCGAGAGGTATTATGTTTCAAAAATATTGAGATGACATTAGGTGCGACGACGACCTTATCACATGGTTCCGTTGAACGCGGGAGAAAGGGTCGTCGTGACGTGCGATTGGACACTACCGATGTAGACCGGGGAAAACACGCGGACAAGCGAAACAGAGAGACAAACACAAAATTAAGGCAAATAAAAGTTCGAATGGAGCCCATAAATTAGTTTCACACTCATTAAGGTAGCTGCTGCCGTGACTGAGTCAGTTTGGCCGGCAGAGGGTGGACGATTTTATGATCGCAGTTCGATCTTGAATGCAGCCGTTTATGAACCTTGTTTACTCATTCTCAATGTGAAATAGGTGAATTGATTTCCTTCCACCAAGAACGTCCAACAACAAAACGCTTGTTCAGTGTGCATCGACGGACGGTTGCAGCAACAGCAGCAGCATCAGCATCGGTTCAGGGACTCTGTTATCGTGCGCTCAAGATCGATTCTCGTTATAAATTTAAATGAGATCACTATCGGAGGTGCAATCTTTGGAGCCTCTTGAACCACTGGCTGAAGCCCAATGCGAACCAGCAAGCGAGCATTCAGGGAGGTAGGTTTCGTCGAGATCGTCGGATGCTGATGTCTGCTCGCTCGCTCGCTCGCTCGTTTTTAGAGTTTCGAGAGCGCGATTTCTGTGGAAATCGGTGACGAGATCTCGACTTGCCGTATCACCATCGTCGATTGGAGTTGAGTTTGAGCTGAGAAGACTCCAAATGGATTAGACCTCCGGCAGATTGATTGGTCACAAATGGGTCCGGGCGTGCGAGCGTTGAAATGGGTGGTGGCTCGAGTGACAAATTTCGACACGGAACGCGTTGCGGGCAGTTTTATGGGTGTCAGTTGGATATATGTAATGTGTTTGTGTTCGGATGTCGTTCATCGGAAGAGGTGCGTTAAAATGATTATTCAACGCACAATTCTTGCAGCAATCAATCTTGCTAGAGTAATTGTGAGCATTTTGTTCGTTTGGGATCTAGTATTTGACCGTGTTTGTATAAGTTACATCACATGGATGGAATTTGCCTGTAAGCGCAGCCATTTTCACTCACATTCAAACCCCCCCTCCAATTCATTATCGATGCTAATATATCGCTCAAAATGTACTGAAACTTTCAATCAAGCCTTAGTGCAATACTTGAGCATTAAAACAATAGCCTAGCTGAGATGCCTTTCACTATTCCAATCATTAATCAAATTAACAGTTACCTCTATAATTAAACTCCACATTGTTTGATACCTGCTGCAAATGCAAATTTTCAATATTTTCACAAGAAAACGTCACAGCGAAACACAAAAACGTCAACTCTGCAACGCGACTTGCTTTGTTCGCTAAAACCTTCAATACTAATTTTTCTTCGGCTTGGGTCCATAATTAAATTTGGTCACCACAGAAAAACATGCATAGTCAATTGCCAATATTTCAAAACCAAAACAATCGTTCTGATTGGTCCCATTCCCAAGTAAAATCCCATCACCATAACTTACATTCCTGTCCAACCGTAACGGAATGTCACCGTTCACAGGTCAGTTTGTACCCGTAGAGAGTAGATTATGTTGTTCTTTATGCGTCCAATCATAAGCATAAATTCTTGCACTCTGTGTTTTACACGCCAGCATACCGCAGCATGACAAAACAGCCACTTGAGATACTACATGAGGCAAAGGGAAAGGGGCGAGGGGGACTCCTGCCTCATAAGGTCCGTGTTGGCCAACATGCTATAGCAACAGCAGCACACATTTCGTGACAAAGAATCCGTTCGAATCAATCTTTGGAGAACACCATTTCCCTAGAAACTGATTGGATTCTTTACTCCTCTCCATCTCTTGACTCTTGAGCACCACGTGGTTATAGGTTACATTGCATCCTCGTAGTCATCGTCGTCGTCGTCGTGCAATGGGAAGAGAAGAAACCGGGTGAAATGGTCAATTTTTAATCAACCAAGAATCGTTTGCACGGCACGCTTTGCGCTCTCTCTCAGTCCGTGTAGTTCGACGAACAACAGGAACGAATGATGACTGCATAGAACGAAAAATCGGCGTGATTTGTTGCTTAAATTGATGAAGACCATGTCCGTTTTTTTTTTTGCTGCTCCCCAGCACACCAGCAAGATTGAGAATGTTTCCAGGAGAATGCACTCCTCTGTGATGAATGATTCAATTTGCATTCACTACTCTGAATAACAAGGACTAAGGAGTTCTTTGTTGAGCAATCGCTTTCTCCTCCTTCTCTCGCGTGTCATTAATGAAAATCCATACGAACTTCATAAATCATATTATTTCGGCATTCATTACTAATGCGTCTCCCGTTTTTTTTCGCTTCCGTTTTCCGCAGGAGACGATGAGGAAGCTGCTGATGAGCAGCAGTCGTTACCTCAGGAGCAACAAGGAAATTCCTCATCAAGCAGCAGCAGCAGCAGCAGTAACGGTAGCGAAGTAGGCGGCGAAACAGAAATGATCAATTCACGGCCTCCTTCGAATCAGAACGACACGGAAGAAGATCCCCCGCTAGATTCGAACCCTCCCGAAGAGGCAGCATCCTCGCCAGCCCCTTCAACGACTACCCGTAGCAGTAGAACGCCCTCAGTAGCATCACCTCCACCTCCTCCGCCGGCGACTACCATGAGCGAAGCAGAGTCCGACCGAGGAGTCTCATCTCCGGAGAAGGTGGAAATCAAGGTCGAACCTGACTTCATAGTTGACGAGAACCAGCGATCTCCGGAGGAGAACAAGAACGAAGAGAGTAAATCTCCGGAGCTGAGTGCTGCTCAGCTTCCAATGCTTAGACTGAATGCCGCTTTGGCCGCTGATCCGGCGACCAATCCGGACGCTAAAGATCTTAAGAACATCACAGCCGCAAACGATAGTCAGTTCGAAAAGAACAATGAGTCGGATTACCAAGCGGCTGGCCTGCCCGCACAGGCCATCCTTAGAAAACCAAACAAACCGGAAAACATCACCATTCCTATCTCCGTCGATCTACCGCCACGGATACCGATGTACATGTGCGGTCCATGCGGTATTCGTTTCTCGTCGGCTTCCACCCTGGAGGCTCACCAAACCTACTACTGTTCCCATCGGAAGGACGCCGATGAGAACAATATAGGCGTGAAAACTGCCAACTCAAATGATCCCAATAGTTCCGAGCCCCCAACTAAGGCGGCCAAAACCGGCAAACAGTACGCCTGCACCCAGTGTTCGTACAGTGCGGACAAGAAGGTCTCTCTAAACCGTCATATGCGTATGCATCAGTCATCACCAGCTCCGAGCTCAAACGCCTCGAACGGAGACGACAGTACAGCTAGTCAACAACTGCAGCTGCAGTTTCAAGCACAAGCAGCCGCTGCAGCTGCTGCAGCAGCCGTCGTGCTTCAGCAACAACAACAGCAGCAGCAACAACAACAACAACAGCAACCGCCACCTCAGGTGGATCGGTACTGTTCCGATTGTGATATTCGGTTCTCCAGTACCAAGACCTACCGGGCACACAAGCAGCATTACTGCAGTTCCCGGCATAGAGATGGGTAAGCTCCACAATACCCCCCTTAGACGGACACACAGTATTAATCTTCTCCGTCTTACAGCCAATCGAACAACAGCACTCCCAAACCGCAGCAGAAATCGGGCTCGCAGAGTCCGCCGGACGTGCCCAAAACACCGCCGGTAGCCCCGCAGCAACCATTTTTGGCACTACCAACCAACCCGATCATAGTGATTCCCTACTCGTTGATACGGGGCGCCAGTGTAATCCCCGGACTACTGTACGTTCACTCCACTGCCGCTTCACAATTCATCACATTCTAACCCACCTATTACCGATTCCACAGATCGTCCCTCGCACCGGGAATCTCCAATCCAGAATCGGCTTGCTTCATCTTCCAGAATGGTACACTTCAGCCGATCGCTGTTTCACTGGCATCGGCCACGGCTGCGGCAGCCGCTGCAGCAGCCGCCGCTGTAAACGTACAGCAACCGCAGCAACAGCCGCAACATCAGCAGCCGGCCTTGGGAAACTCCGGTGGTTCTGGGTCGCAATCACGGGTCCAAACACCGAACGTTGGCAGTGATAATAGCTCGAACAGTAACAGCACCGGCGAAGTGCTTAAGGCAGTCAACAAACGAGACAACGTCAAGTAAGTATCCGTGCTACCATAAGCTGGCGTAGAATTACGATTAACATTTGTGCTCCATCCACAGAGAATCTTCAACTCCGCTGGACCTATCAGTGCGCCGCTTATCAACGGGAGCTAACCTCCGCGAACGTTCGTTATCACTCTCCTCAGCCATATCAGTCGAACAGTTGCGGATGGATTTCGACAGTCTGATGGAAGGCAAAGAGAATCTCTCGGTCAGTGGTGACTCCATCACCCCGGAGCAGATCGTCTGCGCTCCCTCGCTCCCGGGAAGTCCTCCGCTAACTCCGTCACCAAAACGGCGATCCAACAGCCCTCGGGGAGGTGGTGGCTGTGGCAGTGGAGCTGGTTCACGAAGTGATCGGGAAGGTTCTGTATCGATATCGCCACTTACGCTACAGCAACAGCAGCAACTGCTGATGCGACCTCTTCTCCCGGCAGACATTGCTTTGCGCCTCTCGGCAGCTGACCCTACGCTTAATCTCAACCTCAACATTCTCCCGAACTCTCAACTGCTCACCAAACAGGGCGTCGAGCTAGCCCTACGGCTTTCATCGACCGTCAATAGCAACTGCGTAGATCATACTTCCAAGAAACACTCGCAACCGCAGATGTCACCTCTGTTGAACAGCATCTCTCCGACCAACAACGTCCAGGTTCCGGTCCTTTCGAACGCTCCTCAGATCTTCGTCAAGCAGGGTGACTCCAAATGCAAGGAGTGCAACATTGTCTTCTGCAAGTACGAGAACTATCTTGCCCACAAGAAGCACTACTGCTCCGCCAGAAATCTGGACCAGGACGGAGAAAACGCAAAAACTAGTCCTCCGATTTCACCGCATGCGGCCAGTCCTTCCACTCCGACGGGTGGCGCTTCGGTGATAGGCGGAGCATCGCGGGCAACCAGCGGCGGTCAGCCGGTGTCCTATCAACAGCTGATATGCGCCGCCTGCGGCATCAAATTCACATCCTTGGACAACCTAAGCGCCCATCAGATGTACTACTGTCCCAAACGGGGGGATGTGCAAATGCCGGTAGGTTTACGATTCGCTTTTCCTCCCTACGATTTCTTTTTGAAATTCGGAATTCCATTTACAGACAAACGTTGCACCCCAGAAGGAAAGGTGTTCCAAGTGCAAGAGTATGCACGAACCGGGACAACCTTGCACCGTGGCCGGCCAGGGAGCGTACAAATGTCCCATCTGCGAGGCGATTAGTCCAAATTCGACTGAAGCACGACGTCACATGGATACCCACGGCGGGGTAAAGGCATTCCGGTGCACAATCTGCCGCTACAAGGGCAACACGCTGCGGTAAGTTTAGCTGTTGATTTTCGTAACGGGTGCTAAATTATGTTTGTTTACAGCGGTATGCGAACCCACATTCGGATGCATTTCGATAAGAAAACGAATGATTTCAACGAGGAGAACTACATCACGTGCATTCTGGAGGAGGATGGCATTGAGATACCACCGGCAGCGGCTGTTGCATCAGCGGCAGCTGCCGCCGCAGCGGCCGCAGCGGCACAGCTGATGAACCAAGCTGCAGCAGCAGCGGCACAAGCCGCCAGTCAACAACAGGCATCGGCGCGGCACATTGAAAACAATAGCGGCAGTCCGTCCGGGCAGGTCCATTTTTGCGAACTATGTCCGTACTATTCCACTTATAAGCTGAATGTGGTATGTAAACGCAGGTCTGGACCTGAGAGACATTTTAGGGTTAATTGGGACTCTTCTTCCAGGCGAAACATATCAAACTGATCCACAGTCGGGAGCGACCGCCGAGCAATTCGCCCTTGATCGGCGAAGGAGGTGAATCTTTGATATTCAATGGTGATAGTGGCAACTCGACGCCACGCCCACCGATCAGCAGCACTCCGGGCCCCACCGGCAATAGGTGAGTTCGTTAAATTTTCTCTGGTTTGCAAATCGAACGTAACCTCAATTTCCCTCTCCGGAAAACAGCATAATCAAAACCGAACCGGAAGACGATCGCCCCGAGGAAACGGACGTCGAGGTGGACGTGGTGCTCGAAGAACCGGAGGTGATTATCAAAACCGAAGCTCCGGAACCCTCGCTGCAGCCATCCGTGCAGCTTATGGGTTCACCACCTCCGCCGCCACTGGTCCCCAGTCAGGCGCATCATCTGAAAGTGAAATCTCTTCACGCCTCCGGACCTGGTGCGCTGAAAACTTCCCCGAATCATCAACCACCGCACACCAAGACACCTTCGCCGCCCGGGTTTATTGGGGAAATCAACCACAGCGGTCCCAACTATTGCGACGCGTGCGATATTACCTTCAACTACGTCAATACGTTCATTGCTCATAAAAAGTTCTACTGCAAAAACAGCCTACCGGAAGGCGGCGCAGGAGCGGGAGTGACTGCAGGTGCACCCGCGAGCATCCGGGCGGCTACAGCCGGCTCGCCGAACAACGTGGTAGCCGTTTCCAGGGCAACGGAAACGTCAGTTTAAAACGACACGTTGCCTCCGGGCTGGAAGGACTCGTTTCTAATGCAACAGGTAAGCGATGTGTTTTACGGGAATAGAGGCAATTGTATACGGAGAAACTTTTACGTGGAATGGAATGAATTTACCAATTTATGCATAAAGTATACGGTTTTATCTGAAAAACAAAAATAATCATACAAACGTGGGACCCCTCCCATAGTTTCACTTACACAAAGCAGAAAGTGGACGTTTCTGTGTTGATGATTGTAGTGCTAGCAACTGCTCGTAGATTTAGTAACGGAATCTTAGCATTCTTACCGATAAGTCCAACAACTAAGCTTAACACGTATCTATTAACTGGATGTAATGTTAATGAAAGCTCATACGCTGTGTAAGGATAAAAGGAACATCAAACAACATGTAATTATATCGCTGTTTTCTAGCGGAGGAGGAAGCAATCTGACATTTTGACCCTCTTCCACCGGATTTAAGGTTAAGTTTTTTTCTTTTTTTTTTCATTTCAGTTCAAAAACTTTAGTTTTAAGCATAGGACACGTTTTTTACCAAAGTTATAGCGAGTTGTTTGTTTTTATTCAATTTTAGTTTTAAACTTCTCTCCAACCAATACGTATAACTTCCAATTTGAATCAAGACTTAAGCGATGTTTGCATTTAGTAGGAACTAGCGTTTAATGCTAACTAAACTGAATAAGTGGAATGTAAATCTGTGTAAAGTGCGTAGCCGAAGCGGAAATTTAGTAAAACATAAGCTCGAATTTAACCCTACTACCAAGTAATCAACTACACTGTAACACGAATAACAGAAAATAGCACACAGCGCAAAACATGCAGTCTTTTACCAATAGTAAACAAGCAGATTTCCTTTCTTTCCTAGCTTAAACAATCAGATTTAAATTAAAAGACCTATAATAGAGAATGTAAATCAAAGGCCATATATTAACCTGCATGGACATTACCACGATTACCACGAAATACCACTTACATTGAAAATCGATCGAGTGTTTTGATTCCCACATATGTAACTGCAACAAAAACCAGGAATGTAAAAATTGACGTCAAACCAAAATTGTCTTCGGCGTTTGTTATCGTAACCAATATCACGAATCACGAGGGATATAAAAAGAAAGAAGTAAAGTAAAGGCATAAAAGAAAACATTGAATCAAATGACAATAAATTATTATTTATCAAGTAACCAGAAAATCAAACGGATGAAAAACAAAAAGGGAAAGCCGTGTGTTGTAGATCGAAACACTGACTAATGACTAAATGGAAAACAGTAGATGGATGCAAGAACAGAAGAAGCAGGAAAAAAAACATTGAAAACCAATCAAATATGATTCAATTATAAATTAACAAATACTGAGGAAAAAAATTGGATGGTAGCATATTTCCGTGGCGGTAGTGTCGTATCACATCCAAAGGTCTGAGAGATTGATGCTAAATTAACGAAATAACGAAATTAAAAACATATAAGGAGATACATTTTTATATGTTTTAGACCACCCCCTCCCGCGTACACAACCGTCCATTTTTTTTTAATTTGTATGGACCGTATTGGCATGCTTTTAAAATACGGCGGACTACGATGGACTGACTGTGGATTACGGAAGCCTGAAGAGAAGCAAGCTATTGGCAGAATTTTGACCTTTTAAAAATTCGGATTTCCTTAAACTCTTTGGTTTTTTGGTTATCCTAATGAACAAATACCATAACGAACGATAACCCAAATAGTATAACTGTTTCACAAATTTGGACTGCACCCAAAACAAGTGGTTATTTTTATTAGGATAGTTATGTTTGCGAAAAATCAGTTCTTATCTATCTGTGGGATTCTACCAAATTTGGTTAATTTTGAAATAGTGTGTACAGAATTGACGAATCAAAGCAATTAAAAGTTAAACTGGCCTAGTTTTCAGCTTCATAATTACAGAAGTGATGACGCACCAACAAAAAAATGCAATGAAATGGGCACTTGGTACTTTCAATTTTCGTACCCACTTTTTGGGTTAATTCTGAATGATGAATTTAAAAAAAAAACAAATTATTGGATAATTGAGAATTGAGAGAACTTTAGGAAGCTCCGAGAACATCAAGACAGATCAATAAATTTTAAGAAAATCGCTGAAATTTTAAAGGAGTTCCGAGAAACTCAGGCAATTTCCGAAAACTTCAGTAATGTTTATGAGAGGTTCATGCAAATTTACGAAACGTAAGGGAAGTTACATGAACATTAGCACATTGTGAGAACATTTCATGGGAAGTTCCGTGCTTATTAATGGCAGTGTCGATAACTTTTAAAAATAAGAAAAATCGGGAACTGTAATGCTTTTTTTTTTTAAATGCGTTTATTTTTCCAGGCTCATTTGCCGTAGCTTTGCGAAGCCGATATTCATTGTTTGGATGACAAAATTTCTTAAAACTAACGTTAGTAAAGCGGGGGCCGATTACTCGCGGCTATCTCGAGGTTAGGGGTAACAATTGTAACAAATGGATGGCAGAAAAAGACAAACATGGGGGTACACCGATGGGCAGCTAACAACTTGGGGGAACACAAGATGACACTAACTACTAAATCCTCAGATCGATCCGTTTTAAAAACACATAAATTAAATTAAAATATTCGGGATCTCGGCTCGCCAAGATGTCTCCAACGGGCCGCATAGGTTGTTTTCCTCGGGCCCTGAGGGATGCGGATAACTCGGATCTAGCAACACAATGTAGGGTGCATGACCAAAGCACGTGGTCGATATCGCACAAGCGCACAAATTGCTGCCTGCGAGCCCGATTCGGAAGAAATGCGAGTCTAACGAGTAGTGTTTGGACAAGAGCCTTGATATGACACGTATAAAGTCACGGCTCATGTCCAATCCTTTGAACCATGGCTTGTTCGACAACTGTGGGAGAATAGAATGTAACCATCTTCCCAGATCACTCTCATTCCATTTTTGTTGCCAGTTGGTGAGGACGTGCTGACGGGTAATTGAGAAAAATTCCGCAAAGGCAATTTGTCGATCAAATATATCGCCTTCCATAGCGCCCACCTTAGCTAGCGAGTCCGCTTTCTCATTACCCGGAATTGAGCAATGAGATGGGACCCAAGCTAAGGTGATAGTATAGGAGCAGTTAGATAAAGTACTCAATTTTGCTCGGATTTCGGTCAGGAAATACGAGGAGTGCTTCATCGGCCTCCTTGATCGAATAGCCTCCAACGAGCTAAGGCTATCAGTAAAAATAAAATAGTGATCAGATGGTAGTGAGGCAATTTGCTCTACTGCGTAAAATATGGCTGCTAGTTCCGCAACGTATACGAAACAGGGTTTTTGCAGTTGATATGAGACGCTATGAAATTCGTTGAATACTCCAAATCCAGTGGAAGCGTTTATAGTTGACCCATCTGTGAAAAAACTCTTATTGTTACTGACATGGTGGTACTTGTTTGCAAAAATTAAGGGAACAACCATCGACCGATGGTGATCTGGTATTCCCCGGATTTCTTGCAACATGGTCAGATCAAAATTTACAGAGGAACTATAAAAGTCTTGGAGGCAAACACGAGAGGAATTGAATGAAGAAGGGCCAATCTCCAGCGTCATGTACTCGTAAAAGAGTCTCATGAATCTTGTTTGAGGATTTCTGTCGAGCAGCTTCTCAAAGTTTTCTATTACCAATGGGTTCATTACTTCACAACGGATAAGAAACCGGAAGGACAGTTCCGCGAAACGATCTGTCAGTGGGAGAACACCCGCGAGTACTTCGAGGCTCATCATATGCGTCGAGTGCATACAGCCAAGCGCGATTCGGAGGCAACGGTATTGAACCCGTTGCAGCTTCAGGATATGTGTTTTCGCCGCGGATTGAAAACAGAAGCTACCGTACTCTAGGACCGACAAGATGGTTGTTCGATACAACCTGATCAGATCTTCCGGGTGTGCTCCCCATCAAGTTCCAGTAATTGTACGAAGAAAATTGATTCTTTGTTGGCATTTTTGTTTCACATACGCAATATGTTTTCCCCATGTGCTTTTGGAATCGAACCTGACACCTAAATACTTGAAAGATATACTTTGAGTGATTGTTCTACCCTTTAGTTGAAGCTGTAACTGTGCAGGATGATGCTTCCTAGAAAAAACAACCAACTCAGTTTTCTCCGGAGAGAATTCGATACCCAGCTTCATAGCCCAAGTAGACAAATTGTCTAAGGTATCTTGCAATGGTCCTTGCAGCTCCGGTGCACACAGCGAGCAATTTTCATCAAGACAGCCATCAACGTCTTTTACATAAAAATTATAAAGAAGGGGGCTTACACATGAGCCCTGGGGGAGACCCATGTAACTAATTCGTGAAGTTGTCGAGTTTCCATGAGAAAAGCTCATATATTTCTCAGACAACAAGTTGCTCAAATAGTTGTTCATAATTGGTGAAAGCCCACTATCGTGGAGTTTATCCGAAAGGACATCGATACAAACAGAATCAAAAGCCCCCTTAATGTCCAAGAAAACTGAACCCATTTGCTGTTTTTGCGCATAGGCCAGTTGAATTTCAGTTGAAAGCAACGCAAGACAGTCGCTCGTTCCTTTGCCTCTCCGAAATCCAAATTGCGTATCTGAAAGTAAACCATTCGACTCGACCCATTTGTCTAGACGAAAAAGAATCATTTTCTCCAACAATTTCCGTATACAGGACAGCATCGCGATGGGACGGTACGAGTTATAATCCGACGCGGGTTTACCGGGTTTTCGAATAGCGATAACTCTTACTTGCCTCCAGTCATCCGGAACAATGTTGTGCTCCAGAAATTGATTGAATAAGTTCAACAAGCGTCTCTTCGCGACATCTGGGAGATTTTTAAGCAAGTTGAACTTGATTCTATCCATTCCTGGAGCTGAATTGTTACATAAAAGGAGAGCAAGTGAGAATTCCACCATCGAAAACGGGGAATCTATTTCGTTATTACCCGACGGACGATCACGAACGTTGGTTTGAACCGACACCGAATCCGGGCAAACTTTCCGCGCGAAGCTGAATATCCAACTGTCTGAGTACTCCTTGTCTTCGTTGACCGGTGATGACGCGTTGCGCATTCTCCTGCCGACATTCCAGAGTGTTCTCATGAACTGTAATGCTGATCTTACAATAAATTCATGATAATTGTGAGAGCGCCTAAGAAATTTCGTAATCTTCAAGAAATTCTAGACACCTTCAAAGTTGATTAGAGATATTCCGGTAGTCTCATTATAAAGGGTGATACGGTCAAAATTTGGTCAATATCAACTTGACGTATTTCTTTCAATTTTGCATTTAAAAAACCTGAACACCCCTCATTTTGAAGGTGTGTGTGTGTGTAGAATGTTGCTCCTATTTTGATTTTGGAATTCACTCTTCAGTTGTCAAAATGCCGTCCAAGCAAGAAGAGCAGCGTATCAAAATTTTGCTCGCGCATCGCGAAAATCCGAGCTACTCGCACGCAAAGTTGGCAAAATCGCTAAAA